GTGGAGGTGTCTGAGTGCAATCCATTTACAGTGTTGGTATCGGAACTGTCGCAAAGGAAAGAGGATGAGCAATACATTGCTTCTTAAGATTGAGTGACTTTCTCGTGAAATGTTAAATAAAAAAGATTGCATCAAGTCGCATTTGGCGAAACAACAGAGGTGCCAGTGAAATAGTCACAAGGGTAAGACAGAATTCGGCCAGACGTGGTTTGCAAGCCGTGGTATGCAGGTCGGAAAAATATCACCTCGAAATCAACCCATGTGGGTGTTACTCAGCCGATGAGGGGTGTCGGGCTCAACTCCGAAATTTCGAGCATTTAAATCATTTTGGTGATTTTCAAATAACTGAATGAAGATACTTAAAGAGGGAGATTGTTGAACCGATCACCTCTTTAGGCCGTCGTCTTACCTCAGTAAAGGTCTAATCTGTTTATTTTTTTTAAGTTATGAACAGCCTCGCTTTATAAAGACAAGCACAAATTCAACCCACAAGCATCTAGAAAGCCTTATGTATGACACCGTGGTGACGGACTGAAGCACGTCTATTCGTCACGCTGGAAGCCATCAAGGAGGGAGGAGCTCAACGCGTCCTTCCTGTCAGCAGTAAAGTTAACAGGTTGATTGCGAGACCACTGAAAACGTGAGCACCAGAAAGGAGAGAAATAAAAAAGGACGTAGAATTGGAATTGGAGGACTTCTGGCGTTTCTTCTTGTGCTAAAAGCTTGTCCAATTCATTAGCAACTCACACCCACCAACATTCATTCTGCCCTAACCAGCTAAGTGCATTCCACATTCGCGACGCCAATGAAGGACTGTTCGAGTACCGATACTATACGGCAATGCAAAAAAGAATGATAGAGGGCAGAAAGAAATCCATTGTCAGCAGGGTCAAAAAATCGCCTCTCTGCTGAGTACGAGGGAAGCTGAATTTTCATAACAGATCGGAGGTTGCATTGAGATAAGGTGGAAACGTAGCAGGATCAAACTTCCTTATTTTCTGTGTAAATATCTAGGGCAATCAGCAGATCCTCTTTCCGCCTTCCCCTTTTCTGCCCCTTTTCTGCCCCCTCGCCCCCGTCACACCCCTCCCCCACACCCCTACAACCGAGAGCGCATGTACGCGCATACCTGGAGCGGAGTAACAAGACTGCATTAATAAGGCGGGATCACTTATTCACCTCGTCTCCACCCTATCCGGAGGTCTTTTTTTCCACTTCCTCGCCTTCCCCTTTCTTTCGCTCATGTGATTCAATGAAGATTAATGACCACGCTTGAGACAGCGGCGGTGTGTGCTGTTACATTTGCAGTGGTGGTGGTAGAACGAGTTATCATTACCCTCTCGCCACACCGCCCCCCGGAACCCCATCGTCTGCCTCCCTTACCTGCAATAATACAAGATGATGTGACAGGTCACAACCCACTTGGGTCTGTTGTGCACCAAGTCCTTGACAGGCTACTTTGCCTGCCAGTTGCTGTGGAATAAGGGGAAAAAAGAAGAAGGCACAGGCACTCAGCTATATTTGTCGCCTTGTGGTAAAAAACAGGAGAGAGAAAGAGGCTGTCTTTCAACCATTCTACTTCACCAAACACTCTCTATGCTTTTAAGTTTAAATAACTATGCTAGTTTTAGGGAAATATAGTTTAAAGAACGTAAGAGGGACTTATTTTTCGGATCGGCTGACCACTCGGGTGATAAAAATCTCCTTCCACTGTTTGGACTTTAGAAAGATGTCACTGCCTCAACTCTCGTCTTTATAAGTGTCAAATGCCAGAATTGTGCTGACCTCGGCGTCATGTTTTAGCTCTTAAAATTAGCTCAACTTACCTCAAACAAGGTGTCCAAAATGACTTTATGAAACCGCCAGAATGGTGGTCCTTTGACAAAATGCACAACTATGGCTTCACGAATTGAAATGACAATCCACTGGTTATAAGGCGCCTCCATTGAACCAGCTCCTCTCTAAAGGGATTCTGACATTTGGTGTGTGTTCATTGTTGGACATCGTCTGGTCTTTGATGTACCCCTTCAACGTGTCACCGCCTACCAAAATCGCGATATTAAGGCAATCAAAGCGAAGACGCTCTGTTGCCCACCGCTAAGGCAGTAGGGTGATTGCTCATCAGACCACTTGGATGGCGCTGGCATTCTCTCAAAAAGTGGCTTTACTCGTGGGTCAGTTAACGCGAGGCTACCCAACCCCCTTAGGTCATCTGCGCTTCGTTAAGGCCTCCGCGAGGTGTAGACACGCATACTGAGTAGTTTTAAGGGTTTAAATCTATTTTTAGTCTTTCAGGGGTGCCAATTAGTCATAGGCCCCAAAATGAGTCATGAGGAGTCGGTCAGAATGATCATTGTGGATTGTAAGTGCAATTGGGAAAGATTTTAACAGTCAGTTCGCTGTTTAGCCTTCTTCTCGAGGCTTCTCGCTCTATATTATTAACGAGTTTGAGGTGGTTAAGTCGAAAGACGTGACAGAATAGGTATGAGACGGATTGTGGTGTTCGGTAAGCTGCTGGTACACCTCTGCAAGTTCCTTCCATGGAGCATAACTTCGTACTGTCTGCTCAACACCTCTTCGTCGAACGGAGTGAGGAATTTAAACTGAAAGCTTACAGCACTGATGCCAAGTCAAATAGCTATCTGGGCACCACACCAAAAACCGTCCTAAAGGTCCCCAAATTTTGGCAAACGTATGCATTCTCCGAAATCCCGCTGCAAAAATCTGGGGTGGAGGTGGGGGATCTGGGCAGTGGGACAGAGGTAAAAGAGATGGGAAGGGGGGAAGGGAATGAAACATGCTCTGATTTTCCAGCCACTCGGTCCTATCTGCCTGCATGTCTGACTGGCTAACCGGTGGACCGTTTGACTGATGGCCAGACGAGAGGGGAATAAAAGTGTCTACCACCCTACTGAAAAGGGGATTTCCACCCCGATGCACTGCAGGTGCGAAAATTTCACTCCACAAACCGCGACGCATCAATAAAAACCGCAGACGAGCCTGCGTCTGGAACTCGCATAAGGGACCCGCGGACCCAGTAAAGTCACATGATGACCAGCGCCTTGCACACTTCCTCTCAATGAAATTTGTACTAATTATTTCTCAAATGCGATAAATAAACTGATCAACACGATATTTGCAAGTATTTTCAGCTTCCCTAGTCCACCGAAGTTGCCATTTTAAAGGAGGCACTACTTAAATGCGTGTAGGCATAATCCGCCTCACAGTTAGCGGCGATGGATGATTTTAATAACTTTACGCGAATCTTATTGGTCCATCCATCACTATTTTTATCTTTACCCGATGCTGGCGCTGCGTCATGCCCGAGTTGAGAAACATTTGGTGAGATATGGCGTTGTAATCAGAGGGCGGGGGGACGAGGAAGGGGGAAGGGAACGGTATTTGATTGATGACATTTCCGCTAATCCGATGACAACCACTTTAAGGTTAACGTGCACTTCAAGTTCAAATTGCCACACTAACTCAGGGACACATCATTTTTAGGCACATTTGGTGATAAATTAGCATAAAATTAATTGGCAAATGCCATTCATTCCGGTTTGTAGGAATGGGAAAGATTTGGGCTTAAATCTTGTCATTTTCCTTTTCTCATTAAATTTACAGCCGAAATGTCTGAGCAGACAACTTAATAGCGTCCTCATCCGCACGCTGTGGTTGTTTTAAGGCTTTGAGTTTGTCTGTCAATCGGTGAGTCTTGTGGAAACCGACTGAAGCGTGAATTATGAACGCGATTTAAGTTTTGCCCACCAGAGAGGGGAATACAGAGGTGATTTTGGGCGAGCCTAGCATTTGATGCGAGCTCCTCGATTCTGCGACTCGAGGTGGACTTGCGTGCCAAGGGCGAGGCGGAGAGAGAAAGGAGAACCTTTGTGCGAGTGGTCATTCAAATCGCTCACCGCTGATAAAATACAGTTCAAGTCAAACGTAGGGGGAGAGGAGCGTGGTTGAGGGCATCATCATTTGGGATGCAAGGCGGCCTTCACACACCAAACATTCATTTCGACTGAATTGTCACTTTTTTTCGTCCATGCGAATTTTTTCTTTTTGGTAGAGGCGTATGTACATTTAAATAATCTCTACCAATAATCTTATCCACTTTCTTTTTCTTTCTGCAATAATTTGTACTGATGAGACGTCAGTTGCCATGACGTCGTATTGTCTCGAGGTAACCCACAAACCCGTATTTCATAACACACAACTGCTTTGTGAGAAAATTAGCATCGTTTAGGGTGGAAGGAGGGAAGACCCACTCTTATCCTCATGTTGTCTCCTATCTTGCCAATATTTTTCCTCAAGGTTTAAGTTATGACCCCATCAGCGTTGCACAAACAGACCCACCCACAAACATACACACAAGCCCCAGTAGACCCGCAAAATAGAATGAACATTTAGAAGGTAGAGGTGCAAAGGAGTGAAGAAGACCGGTGCTGAGGCTTGATTAATGCGGAATTTGAAACCACGTTGTGTCTCAGTTGGAGAGGAGTGACCTCGACGTTACGATAATGCATTTTAAGGTTTGCCATAGACTTGCGTAGTCTTGTCGAAACAAAACAAAGGAAGTAAATTGATCTGAGCATATAATACAGGTACAAAAGTAAGTAGGAAGAATTACAATAATAAGAAGAAAACGAGAGAGAAGAGTGATTTGCGACAGAAGCACGGAGGTGTCGAAAAATTCCAACTGTTACCACTCTTGCTCGCTCCCTCTCTCTACTATCTCACTTTCAGTCTACCTTGGTCCCTGACTCACGAAAAATCACAGAACATGGAGGAAGTGTCACGGTGGGGTCGTATGCCTGTCCAGTGCGTTGGTTTTTATTGCATCAAATAAATGTGTGGCTGCAGGAATGGGTATGAAAGATACTCAGCGACATCGTGGTAGGGAAAGGTTACAGATATCATCTGTGGTACCTAAAAGGCATTCAAAAGTTACGGTAGGGAGCTATCATAAATCAACGTATCATTATGTAAAATAGATTCTACTGAAACCAAAACAGTAGGACTCTTTTTATGTCGTTGTAAATAGCGAACCTTGTGTACTGCCGGCTGTCCTCATGGACTTTCATTTCGTTTGACTTGTACAAATTTAACTCTTCTCGGATTGAGGCCTGAAAAAAACGTTGAAAATAAGTTTATCTTGACTCCAGTCTTTTATGGCATTACATTAGCACATCTATTACTGTGAGAAGTGGATAAAAGAAGACACTTGGTCCCTGTATTCTTACCTTCTCGGAGGGAGTAAGTTTGGCCCACGTTTTCTCCGAGCGTCGATCGTAGTCGTCAGCTTCAATCACCTCCAAACTGGTGCTGAACCGTGTCCGCGAACCAGCCCGTGTGTGCACATAGCCGTTTTCTTCACCCTGAAATAAGATTACTCTCATCCATACACGATTGATGCTAGTATGTGGGTATAAAGAATAAAATTCAATTGGAGAAACGCCTCACCTTCTTGTCTTTGCGAGCGAAACTCTTGAGACTGACTAAAAAAGTGAAGAAGTAGTTGTGTCAAACAAAAGGATTTTTTAGATAGACAAATAGCTGAACCGCTTTATGCTCACCTTTCGCAGTGGATGAAACGGACCCATTTGTTCGATGTGCGGATGCAGACACCGTGTACGGTAAATGCCGCATCGCCTTCTCTACGCCCATTCCAGCCATTTCAGTTACTCCAATAGGCGAAAGAGACGACTGCTGAGGTGATCCTGGTTGAATCTCCATTAACGACCTCGGTCGTGCTGACTGTCCACGCATATTTGCAGCTCGGCGGTGAACAGGTGCGGTTGTCTCACAAAGCTCCATTTCGTTCAGCTCTCGAGGCCCATTGAGACCACCGTTGCTGCTGCCAACACCAATGCTGACGCCATTGGTGTGATGGTGGTGGTGGTGTGTATGATAAGGCTGTACTGAGGAAACGGACTGAGGCGGAAAAGTGATAGTGATGGAAGTCACAAAAAGTGTTTAACTTTTGTCCGCCACTCAATTGGCAGACAGACACATTTGACTTTCTTATCTTCAAACTCAAAGCTATTTACTGACCTACACATCTATCAACTTAAAAAAAAAGTGGATGTCAAAAATCGTTGTCATCTTACCCGAGTTTTGGGACTGCTGCTCATAGGAGAGGTGGGGATAACCACATGGCGAGATTTTCGGGAATCCTGTCGATGCAGAGAGGCGACACTGGTGGGTGAGGAGGTGTTACGAGATCCAGTGGTGTGGAAGACCACACCGTCAGGATAGACGTAACGCTTGCAGTAGGCTGTGTTACCATCTTGACCATCATTTAGATGGCGCTTTGCTAAACAAAGAAACAAGGAGGAGTCGTTGAAGTGCTCAAAGAGGAGCAACGACAGCACAATGACCTCCTGCCGATCCACCCATTAGTTCTATGCATTTTCCTTCACTATGCGCCCTCGCCCAGCAAGTCAACTTATCTGTGAGTCGTAGTTGGCTAGGTAAGCATTGCGCCACCTAAGTGGAGTACCAAAGGCCTCCTTTCTGCTCTGCTTCTGTCAATGCACCCTTTAGTGCACTTCAAAGGTGACTTGAAGTTATTCAAACGTCTCGTTAATCATCATCGACATCAAAAGACTTTCATTTTAAGGGTTCACATTAGAACAAAAATAACCTCTTGTCAAAGTCCTCTTGAGGTAGTGCTTCTGCATTTGAGGCATCAAATCTGAGAAGACTTGGTAAGACATCAGAGGACTCCAATTTCCGCTAAAATGAGACCAAAAAAGATGCACATCTCACCTGACAATGAGGTGATGTAGGTGGGTCTGTTGATAGGCGATATCGGTGCCGAGGTCTGAGAGGTTACAGGCTCACCCATATGCGTCTCATGGTGCCTTCGGCGCTGCGGTTCAAGAGTGGAAGATTTGGCAGAAATTGTGAGATTCTTTGGTCGTGGAATGGATAGATCAGAGGCAGTTGGAATGTTTGCCTGTCGCTCCTCCTCCTTTGGTCCCATACGAATTAGAGGGGTCTTAAAAGGGTGCGAGAGAAGAATGAAAACCATTTGAAAAGTGGACAATTACAGACAGTCTGATTATTTTGCCTTTTCTACAGTCTTACCTGCTTAAGTGGAGCCTCTGTTGACAGTCTCGGTAAAATATACCGACTTGCAGTGCTTGGAGAATTTGTGGAATCCGATGAGACAACATTTCTGTGGGTATCAGTTGGCGCCCTGTTCAGGGAGACAAGATCCAGCCGTACACTTGATGTAAATTTCCTTGGACGTTTTGATGTTTCCGTGAAAGTCTCCTTTGTATGAACCGCCTTCTTCTCCGCTTCTTCACCTTTTTTGTGCTTTGAAGAAGCCCTAGGTTTTTGTGGTGTAATGGTCTGTGGACGTGACTTGACCTCCTCGTCACCCACCGATGCTGTCCGCATTGGTGTGTCCTCCAGATCCTCATCAGCAAGTTTGGGAGAGGCGATAGAAGGCAAGGAGCCAAAGCGTGGAAGTCGATGTTGGTTCGCATTTTCTGTGCCTCCTGAACGATGTCGTGACGTTTTTTGGAGTTGAGTTGATAAAGAACTTTGCTTTTCTTCAGTCTTTGATTTCGATTGCGTCATGTCTGTTTTCACGTCTTGAGAAGTCTTGGAGACCTTTTTGTTTCCATCCGATGACTCGAGTTTTTGACTAAATGGCAAGAAAACAGTTTATAGATACTGTTAATGTAAAGAGAATGCATTTATCTTTTACACACTTCTTTGTGGCCATCTTCACTGGGACCGCATCATCGGCAATTACACCGTCCTCTTCACTACCAACATCTGAAAAGGGATCGCGCTCTCCAAGGGATTTGCGGGTCTTTACAGCCGCCACATGCCTTGATTCTTCAGTTTCACTACTAGTGCTACTACTGCTGCTGCTACTACTGGAGGAGGAGGAACTGGTGCTACTACTTGTGGTAGTGGTGCTACTACTACCGCTACTATCACCATCTTCCTCCTCCTCCTCCTCATCAGACGACAAAGAGAGGGAGATTGAGGTGTCCGAATCGTCTTCCACAGGTTTGTCTTTTTCTGCCTCCACTTTTGCTTCTTCGTCAACACTGTTGGTAGCGTTCACTTTCGAGTCGGGAGTAGAAAGCACTTTGCCTTTGGGTGCGTATTCAGAGAGCTCGACGGTGCTGTCCTGACGGTCTAGAACCAGCGGTAAGGTGTCAGTAGTGGCACCACGTGTGACAGGAGTGACAGCAGCGATGGCGTCGTTGGAAGCAGTGATAGGCTCCGTCGTCCGTACATCAGAGATATTGCTGCCTGCAAAGCAAAGTTTTCCAGTTATGTTTAATAATTGAAGCATTATTAAGGCATTTTGATGTAGCTCTTTGGGTAAACGGGACAGCTCCTCGCTCAACACGTCCGTTTGGTCAATTCCGACAGCAATCAATCACTAATTCAACTCAACTAATCCCCCACCTTGGCTATGCCACAAAGAATTGGTTACAAAGCCATTCCAAAACTAACAATCAAACATAATATGCCTTGGTGGAAGGACAGGATATCACTCAGAGCCCTTGTTCCTGCACAAGATTAGCCCACTTTGGTCCATACGAAGTCACTAGCCAACACCTTTCCGGAACAAGTAAAAACACTTTCTACTGCAAGTCTCATCAGAGCGTTGAAACTAATTGTGCTCGGACTTACAGATTAGAAGATAACTGTCGATGATTTCACAAAATATTCTATAAGTGAAGTGCTACAATGACTTACTGAATACGTAGCTTAAAACCACATATGATTGTGATGAGTGGATATACAGCAGATGCAGTCCCATTTTATAAGTTCAATGACGCTTCTGCTTACAGACACATTAGGCTTTAGCCTCACATTATTTTTTGCTTTGAATGAAAGTTAGTACTTGTACGCGTGAGTGTAATCGTGAGCAATAAATACAAAGCTCCTGTGACTAGATTGTTTAGAAGCCGCGAAGCAAAACGACGCTTTTCATTGGAAAAAAACTAAAGCACCAACAACTCGTAGCGAATCTCAACCAGTCCCAGGAGGCGAAGAAGTGAGTCAAGTAAGTTTATCCATATGACAAGTACCCCTTAATTAAGCTCCTACCTGTGTTGTGTGTGAACAGGTTGACAGCATTAATACGAGGAAATGTTATATTCAATGGCAAATGCAATCAAAAGACAAAGAAGTGTTGACCTTGCTTACTTATTAAACGATTTAAATATCGAAGAAGTTGATGCCACGATGCCATAAATGGTTGATCATACATCTAAGCATGGACATACCCGTCTCCGAGACATCATCCTCCGCTTTTTTTGTCTCCGTTCGTCGCAATCGAGGTGGCGGAGTGGGTGGAGATGCATCCGCTGTCAACCATTTGGAATCTTGAGCCAAAGTCTTCTCATCGTCGTCCGAGTTCGAGATGAAAGACACAGAGGGTGTTGTCGAAGAAGTTGATCCCGATGTAGTTGCACTTGTTGTACTAGTGGAAGAAGAACTCGTGGAAGAGGAAGAAGAGGAGGAAGTGGATGCATTATTGGACGATGGGGATGAGAAGACGGAAGAAGTGGTTGAAGAAACGGAAGGGGGTCCAATAACCTTTTCTTCTGGCGAGCAAACGGGTGCATCAATATCTTGATCAGTTTTACCATCCCCTTTTTTCGCTAAAACGGAGATAGATCAAGGTGAATCGCAAGAGCATGTTGATAGCTCGTAATGCCGAGCGGTTCATTGATTAAGTTCTCTTTAATTAATTTCGTACATCTTGCGTAAAAGAAACGTTTCAGAAATATATGCTCGCGAGAAAATTGTGGAAACTCACCTTTTTAAAAGTGTCTAAGAAGTACTGAAGGATTGTCAAACAGAACCTCTAACAGGCAGAAGTCTATCGCACACACAGCAAAATGTGAAACACATGACCTTGAAATTTGAACATGTTCCATTCACATGTTAGTACATTAAGGTAGCAAGTGACGCAAAGGTCAGAAAATATTTCCATGAACAAACGACAAAAATAGACTACTAATCTGACGAACATGAGTTAGGTCATGATATTGTGGTAATAGTATCGAGGCCTGTCTACAAAGTAAACTATTTCTCAAATAATTATAAAATAAGAAATCAATTAAAATTGGTTGCATAACGGTATAACCGGATTTTTGAGAAATTTGGAGTAGTGATCATTAGCGTTGGAAAATCCGCTAGAATATAGCTACCGAAGGAGGTAATACAAGATGCATGGTTTGGGAGTCACTAAATTGACCACCACAAATGTAGCGTTATGGGGCATTCCACTGGGCAATAGAAAACATAAGCCGTGAATAAATGTTTGAACTCAGTGAGAAAGAGAAGTGAAGCATTGTCATGGCCCAATAGAGCAAACGTGGTCCCTAAATGGGCTGCTACACTTACCACTGAAGCATGAAGCAAATGTTTAATGGGCTCAGAAGGACTTCCAACATATAATTTAGTGCACCTTTTAGCCCATGTTTGTCTAGAGTGTGCTTATTTTGCCTCCAAATTACCGTTTGTGTAAAGAGAGTAGCGAAGTTGAATGTAGTCCTACAAAAGTCTTCTATATCGAACAGACTCAGATGTTCTTAAACTCGTTTCTTTTGTCCACGCACAGAATCAGTAAATTAATACCGAATGTAAAATTTGACAATAGTGTTAAGCGGTCTGTAAGCATATGTTGATGTCTATGTTTCGACTTGGTATTAAGTAAGTAAGTGGGTTAGCAGTGCTTTCAGAGTACATTTTGAGGTTATTTAAAGAGGGCTACTTGTTATGTAAGGCAATTTTACTCCTACTAACTGACCTTGAATAAGTTTGGTTACTAATCTGGGTCTTACACCTGCAAGGGTAGCCAATAGTAAATGCTTGACCTATATCTCATAGGAAGACGCAAAGGAATTTTCAAACTGCAAGAAAATCTTAAACTTACCGCGTGGGGAATCGGCACTTTTTGCAATGACGCAAATTTCTGAAATGAAACAAAGAAAAAGTAATGTTCATAAGGTTTCTCCTATCAGTCATTATCGTTCGCTTTGCCGTACCTCCCTCTCCCCCTTCCTCTCCAACCATCTCTGATCGTGTCTTGTGGCTGCGAGTGTTTTGAATTGGAAGTCCAACGCAAATTAGGTCGGCCAAATGAATACTAAAAGTGCTGAACACCACAGGATGTTAATTGATCCAGGACCTTCTCTGACTATCGCATTATTCTAGAGGTAGGTAATTAAACCTTCCCCATGACACTAAACTTTAAGCAATGCTATCTTCCACCGAATAATACTCGCTGGCGAGTAGCATCTCTGATTAATGTCTAAAAATATAAAGATCTCCAAAACTAACGTTATAGGAGGAGAGACACTTAAAGAGGCATGATTTTACTTGTTTCTTTGTTTGCATTTACTGCTTGGCTTAAATAATATCACAAGGTGCATGGGATAGCCAGCTTAATAACACTTATAAACTGGTTCATGCATGTGCAATGAGCCAAGTTTTAGCTGCTGCTGTGTTGGAGATCATACTTTACCGGAATTCCATGCTTTGTAAGCACTATGGTCAATTCATCCTTGTTAACCACCCTTGGAATAATGGATGATGGCTATTATCGGTGAGTCAGCAATGATTGCCTCATCTTGTTGAAATTATTTGATTAAAATATAACAATCAGATAAAACTAACACTTGGTGAGGATGATATCACAGTTGGTGCAAGTTTTGGGTTAATAAAGGGGCAAGGTTCAAAAGTTTTTAAAACTAAACTGAAATGAAAAACCTAAAGAACCCACTGGAAGAATTTATATGAGATTAACCTGAACTTTACATTCTTTTGAAACTCAGAAAGTAAAGGATAATTATTCGAGGACAACAAATGCAATAGGTGCGGTCGATTGAGGAGATTTATGCGAGTATTTTGACGAATGCCTTCATGTTTCTCGAATTGTGTAAAGGTATCACATGATTGCACAAATCAATGAAACCAATGTTATATGATACGCGGACCGGTTCGAGCCGAAGTAGCTTTCCTATGCAATGGCCTTAGATCAATTCAAACTACTTTTATTGATGCCATTTTGCTCATTTTAATTGATTACTGTGCTTAAAAGAAGTCTCGAAGTACTTTGTCTTCGGTGGACCAATTAACTACGATAAACTTTTATAATTCCGTCTAAGAAGTTCATCATTGATAGCTTTTTCAAAACGCTTAACTAAAAGAGAAAAGTGTTACCCCGGTAGATCTGCACAATATTTTAATGCGAAGGCGTTGAGGCAACTTTAGAAGTGTTTTAATCTATCATCTATTTATTGATGCCGCTGACCTGCGTAAAGCGCAATTACGTTTAAATGTGAAAGTTTACAATACGGTAGTATCAGCATACAATATGCCAACATAAGTGTTTGTATTCAAACAGTGGTTAGTGACACTAAATTTCATAGTCATTCTGTGGCATGTTAGTAAAATTCCTTAGTTATCGTCTTAAAGGGGGGGGAAGATGCTTGGGTTGCAGCTTGCACCTTTAAGTGTCTAATGCCCTCTGGCAACTTCTTAAAATTAGCATAACTTACGTAGAATATCACTTTTTACGTTTTTTTAGAAAAACTAAGTGGGATGTGGCTTAACAATGTAGTCTAAATGGAGTCGTTTAGGTCTTTTGTGAATTTCTAAGGGAAATACACCATGACTACTCCACAGTAGTGGATCAAAACATCAATCTTCGTAAAAATGATTGCAGCAAAAGAATTAAAGCGTGGATCCGCATGCAGTTTTAGACGTGATCATTGTCTTCACGCCGATCTTAATTTTCGCGCTAAAATTTTACCGGCTATTTGCGATTTCGTCCCCAAAACTTATAAGTCTTCTGGTCTAATTAGCGCATCAGATGCCATTTTTAGCTATTAATCAGTGAGAGTAGCCTGAGGGGGTCTAAAAAACATATGTTTGTGTGCCTATGGATAGTGGCGGAGACAGAGGTATCACATGATCACCGATAGATAGCCTCCGTTCGTTCTGATGGCAGAGAATGAGGAAAGTAAAATTAATGCGATAATTTGTGAAGCCTGGATTTTACAAGTGAGCAGTCGAGCAGACTGATCCTAATTCTTATCTACAGAAAGTAGCCAATTTAACTGCCTTTTTGCTTCCTCTAAAAAAATAAGAACCTCTCCGGGGTCCTTTTGATTAGTTAACTATTTTAAGATTATAATTCTCTTACCGATCTTCCTTTTATAAGGAAAAGTGAGTTTCATGGTGACTTTTGCATGAAAATTACTCACTCATCTTGCCATCGGCTTTAGTGCTCAAGATCACGTTTGCGTACACACTCACACTAGCCGATAGTTTCACAATTAAAGCAAAAGCGACTTGTTATTTCATAATGTGCTAAGAGCTTCTTGAGAATAACTGAAACGCTGTCAAAAGGTGAGAGAAGTGGAGTTAAGGCTGTGCTTTCAAATCTGCTTTACTTTCTTCCTTCAAATTCTGACGTGTGCTCAAAGTCAGGTGCTTCATTGGAAGTCGACGGGGTGGTCAAATTGCCGATTCTTAAATTGTCATCTTACCGCCATCAACTTTGAGAGAGCCAATCTACTAACTTGAATTTTTACTGTGATGGCTCAATGTGCTTAAGCGTTACTAGAAGAACCAAGACTTGTATCTTCTTCCCATCCTAAACGGACTGTCTCAATCAGTGACACTGTGTTTTTCCTTTTTCTATCAAGGTGGTATGGTAGATGTCACCATAGCCGTGAGGTGGACCTGTCCAGTGCAGAAGGGCTGGATCTGAATGCACAATGTTTGTCCGACGAGAAGGGTTGAGTAAACACGCAACCGAAGCGCTAAGAGCGACCACCAAACGTGTTTAGAGATTTCACACGTGTGAAGCAGATAATTAAAGTAGCTCGACCATTCTTAAAGAAGGGATGTTAACAAGTTGGTTAGCGGGTGGAGTTTCACTACCACTCCAATCCTAGAAGCTAGTACAAAATCTCTGCTTGGTGGTAAATCTTTAAAAATTTTGTAAACTAAACGACATCATCTCCACTTCTATGATCACCGCTTGCCAAAACAAAGGGTAAGTTTACTCTTGTATATTCTATTGTTAGCTTACCTTCCCCAACAACAACTTCTCGTGGTTTTTGTGTTTCCGCAAGTTGGTTAGTAGAAGAGGGGGCTTCTTTGCTTTTGTCACCTTCGACATCTGCGAGGTCATTCAAATCGTGCGTCTGTTCTTTAATTGAACCATTTGAGACTTCAAGAGGCATTTTAGGATCCGATTCTACCGCATCTGCGCTCGAGAATGGCTCCTGTGAGGACGCGTTCTTACTCACTAAAATTGACAAAAAACGCATGCATCAAGGGTCATTAACTTGTGTCTCATTGGCGGAGCCAAAGTGTCAACAAAAATTTACTTCAACCACATTAACTTGGTCGCTGCTACTCGTACTTTGCGCATACTCTTCAAAATTGCACACACTTCCGAGCAAATCAAGATAAAATATGGCGAAACTAATGAAGATGACGTGGTGGTCAGGAGGTTTCTACTAGCTTGAGGGCTTTGACGAGCAATTACAAGCGAATCAGATGTACAACGGAAGTGTCAAGGTCGCGTGAAATGTGAAGTAGGTAATGGCAATTTATGCGCATGGGGTAGGTTGACGGGGTCAACTAAACTTATTGGTTGCACTTACTGTCTGTCTAACCCTCTCTTAAGCGCTGATGATTTCACTGGTTCGCGGTCTATTAAATGACACAAAAGGAAAGCAGTGAGGATCTTACCGATTTGAATTTTTGTAGACTACTTAAACAGGCTTAAGTGTTCTTGTACACGTCATTGGTTTGTTAAGAAGCCTCACATTTCCCAATCATCTACCTTAAATGTTTTGATTTTTTTGGTCGCTTAAAACAGCAGCGCGTAGGTGTTCCATGACATGGTGAAAATTTGTGGAGGAAAGGAGGCGAAGGTGCGGGAGGAGCGAGTCACCTACTAACCTTCTTCGGAAAGTGGTTATAATGTTTGGTTAAAGTAATTTGGAAATAAAATTTTGTGGTTGCGGGGTTCTTGTCCAAATGTTCAAGTGAGAACTAATTTTGAATAATTCGCTCCTTTGTTTGTACACTCAGTTAAGCACATTACGATAGAGTTTTAAAAGCCAAGTTGATATTGTAATCATCAGGGGCAAGTTATTTTGTCCACTTCCCCATAAAAAACTCTCAAAAATGCAAATAAAGCCCAAAACACACTGAAAAATGACCGAGAGGAACCATTACAAACAGGGATAAATAAGGCCATGTAATTAGCCTTAGTACGGAAAAGGGTAAGGACTTTATGCAATAAAAAAGGTGCTTTCAAAACAACTAGAAGTCATTAGATTTTGGCTTCATTTAATCAGAACGAAGGGCAACGATGGCTTGACAATCAAAACAAGATTCGATGTTCCAATAAGATACAATCGCCCTTTTGTTTTATAAAACACTGTCACTTCTCATTGCGACCTTATTAAATAAAGTAGGTTGGTAAAACAGCGCCGCCAAAATCAAGCAATTTTTCCCACATCTATATGACCATAAAGTTTAAGCAATAGTTAATCTTGGTTTTGGGTTGCACAAATTTTATTGTGCTTTAATTCCACTTAGAAAATAAACTTTAACGTCATTTGGATTGTTGTTACACCAAATTCTTCTCTCCTTTACTTTCAGCAAAACAAGTGAAAATTTATCGAATAGGGCAAATAAGGTGTCTGCAACTTCACTGAATGTTTCAGCAAACACAAAAACTGAAGCGTTCCGAACCTATCCTCCATTTGAATTTTTCACATTTTTTTGGCCAGTCGATGGTAGCTCTTGTCAGTACTTCATTAGATTGATAACTTTAATGGCACATTTATCCCTTTGAACTGAAAGCCTTTGTGAACAAAAAAAATTTAGGGCAAAGCTTTTTCCCTTTTGCTTCAATTACTCCCAATTGTCTCCATATATAGTAATTAAAGCTTAATCACAAGTCAAGAGTGTTTGGTATACTAAAAGCATTTTGAAACAAAAAATAATTTCAAAATGATGATGAGATTAAAGTTCTATTTCGC